TGTTTATTTCTTTCTATCTACACAGACCACCTTCCTTTGTATCGATGTACTATTGACCCGTCCGGCCCACACACCCCGGACGGCTTCCCGCTGTGCCCAGCACGCGCGCATGCAGCGGACGCTCTCGGGATCCCCCATGGGGACACCCGGATGCCTGCGGCTGCCTCCGAGGATGACATGGCACCTGTCATGTGACTCAAGCCGCATGTACATAAATGTACCTGAAGTGGGAACCGAAGAAGTAACCTTCTTCTCACATTCTCCACTTCAGTCTGAGTGGCCAGGGACCACTGTCCCGGATCGGGCCCGCCAGTATGCACGCCCGCTCCACACCCCGCGACGGCCTCAGTGCCGGATATTACCCCCGGGCCCTCTCGACCCTGGACGCGTCCCTGACAGCCAAGTGGCAATAGGATGCATTGACGGAAGTGACGGATATGTTGGGTCATGACAAAGTGGGAAGTGTGAGAAGAAGGTTGCTTCTCAGTTCCCACTTAGGCTGTGTTTATATACATGTGGTTAAGGCCACGTGGGAAGCGCCATGTCATCTATGCACACAGCCACATCCATCCGGGTACCTCCGCAAGAGGTGCCAGGAGCGTCCGGTATGTGGGAGGTCATCCAGTGTGTCCGGGTCTGGGCACATTGCACTGCAGCCAGGTCAATGGTACATTGATACAATGGAAGTCGTCCGTGTGATAAGAAAAGAAGAAAGAAGAAAGAGTAAAAGGGAAAAGGGGGGAGGTTGAAAGGAGTGGACAGTGGGGCACCAGGTCAGGTGGGGCCGGGTCAGGCAGGTGTCCCCTGACAGGTTTTTGGGGGAAGGCTAGCATGCTTTCCTGTCACCTTTCGGCCCAGTAGATTTGGGCACACTCGTAGTATTGTTGGGTGGGGGGAGGTTTCTTAATTATATATTATTAGTTGTCGCAGCCATACATAAATGTTGGGTGTTATGCAGGGCACGGCATTGTTTTTGGGGTGGGAGGGTTGGACAGGATTGCGGTTGCTAAGGCCGCGATACCGTCTGTTATGGCGGAACCGACCCGGCTATTCTTAGCACTCATGGTCGCGAGTTTTCACACAGCCGCGTTCCCACGGCCGGGTGAGGAACTCGCCCGGACAGCCACCATCCTTTTCTATTATTTCGGAATTACCTCTAGCTTCACGCTTCGCGCTTCAACACTGAGTGGGTTTGGACAGGCTTGGGGTTAGTTTTTCTGTATCTTTTTGGTTAGTGTTAAACGTGAGAGGGGGATTGTATTTTGGGGAAAGTAAAAGGAAGAGGAAAAAAGAAGGATAGCCATGATGTAATTACAAGGAGTAGCTAGCGGCTGATCGGGGGGCCGGACTATATTCTCTCTTGTTTAGAGGTTGAGGGAGGGGAGGGAAGGAAGGACTGGGCCGGGGTTTACAGTGGGTGGGGACAGGGATTAGGACCAGGCGTGGTTGCCGGGGCCTAGGCCTTCCGCGGGGTTTCCAGTTGCGGTTGGGTGGGGGGGGACTGGGGAGTAGAGGGGCCGGGTTCTGGCTTTCCCACGGATGGGTTGAGCTCGCGCCATGCGTAGTGGTCGTGAATCGGGCAGACAGAGAAGATGTGATCGATGGCTTTGCATGTGTGGCAATAGATTAGACCACCAACTGCGCGGCCATTTCCAGTTGTGTCGCCCGAGAAGGTTGAGAGTTTGAAGAGGCCGGTCCATTGGTCGTGTATATTGTTCATAGTCCCTGGGGCACGGTCCGTGACGCGGAAGAAGGGGGACGGGAGGTGGATTTCCCACATTGACGCGTCGGATTCTTTATTTCACCTCCGTACTTACCAGCTGTGCAATCATGTGCATCTCAGGATACATCTGGATCCGTGTCTGTGCTGATTCTTGTCAACACTTCATCCCCAGTAAACCTAACTACACCACCCGGTCAGTGAAGCGGGAGGTCATGTGAGTGAAAAAAAAATAGGATTAATTTAGAAAATTAATTCTGCAATCTGATTCCAGATTTCTATATTTGGAATATTAAAGTGCTATCTACAAATCAAGTGCGGTGACTTTGTCAATGATGCATTAGCCTGATGGCTAATGCCGGCGTGGGTTTATGTTGTTTAGCTGTTAGGCTCCAGTTCGATTCATGGGTGGGTCTGACTTTTTTTTTTTTTTTCCGGGTTGTCGGGTTGGGGGTTTGGGTCAGGGGGTTGTGGTTAGGGGTTGGGTTTTTGGGTCGGGGGTCGGGGGTTGGGTTTTTGGGTTGGGGGTTGGGGATTTGGGGTTGGTGGTTGTGTATTGGGTATGTGTCTATTTTTAATGTAAAGGGGGGTTGGGTGTCGGGTCGGGGGTTGAGAGTTTAGTCGGGGGTTTGGGTGGTGGGTATGTGTCTATTTTTTGGGTTGGATGGCGGTGCAATACTTGATTTGTAATAGTGACCGTTGGCTGGTTTCGAAATGAATTGCTATCCATTTTTTTTTCTGGCACATGACCTCCCGCTTCACTGACCGGGTGGTGTAGTTAGGTTTACTCTTCATCCCCTGCTACCAGAAGCTTTGAGCCGCTCAACTTCCGGCATGTTGTTCTCGGCAACTATGCCTTCGAAGGGTCCTTCGCGCAACTTCCACACCGAGAGCACGTTGTACATCGCGGGCAGAAACATCATGAAACGTGTTTGAAGCATCGTTCACCTGACGCATTGAATGCGACTGATGACTCTCACCACTGCCACGTTGTCCTGCACCCCTTCCCCTCCCTCCCTCCGATTCCCGATTCTCGTGACTTGGCCCTGACAATAGTTTCTCAGCCGTTGGGGTGCGGCTCGTCGCACGCCTAACACGTTTCTTCCTATTCAAAATGGAGAATTTTCCTTTTCAGGAGCCAATGCCTCAACGTACACGGCGTATGGACGGCCTTCACATCTTTCTCTTTCCCCTCGCACGTCGTCAGACACCTCGCAGAACGGCACCATCTTTTCCTAGACCAGTCTTGACTGCATGTCTTCAGCAACGGTGCAGGACACCAAGGATAGCTTGAAACGGGACCCGGAGTTCTCAACGTTTAGCTTTATCAATACACGGAGTTATTTCTTTGCGCCGGACACCCAGGAATCTGAGCAGGAGGAGTCGGCGGATGCAAGGAGCGCTCAAAAGGATGCTCTCGTTGCTGTGGAAACTATGTCAAGTACGCAGAGGTCTGGTTCGACTTCGAGTGGTGGGTCAGCGGAGTTAGAATTGCCCAGAAGTGAGTACATGCGGCAATGCCAGGATCTGTGTTATTCTCAGGGTCTGATGTGGACGAATCTTTTTCCCATAGTCTACTATCGTCTTTACGCCAGCGACGAAGGTGCCATCTTTGCTCAAAACCCGCTGGATGTAAACGACCCTTCGCTTAGCTCCATCTTCGCTGACTGGGCACCACCTCCTCATACTGTTGGGAACCTCAAGAGGTATATTTGCAACCGAGAGCAGTTTCATCCCTCGCGTGCAAGCGTATACCTCTCACGTCGTGACCGTTCGCCAGCCCTTGATTACACAAAAGTAGATCTACTTAGTTCGACTCTGAGACCTGGATCTACTCCCGAGAAGGCTATCGCTATTGTTGTACAGCTAGATGCAGAAGGATTGGGTACAGCAAGCGATCCGCTGCCGATAGCCTATAGGTGTAAGAAAGGGATGGAAGAAATGGCGCAGGCGATTCGAGCCGTTGTGGATGCTACCGCTCAAAAACGAGCGAAGTTGGCCATGAGGATCAAAAAGTTGAAGGAACGACGGGCTGAGGCAGGAAGGGAGAGAGAAAGAACGCGGGAGGAGCAGACGCTGGAGAGGGAACGAACGAAACGCCAAAAGGTGCTTCAAAGGGAGTTGATCAAGGTGCACGAGAAAGAGCGGGTACGGGAGCGAGAAGCCACGAAGGAACGACAGAAGGCGCAGGAAAGGGAGACGAAGAAGGAGCGGGAGCTAAAGGAAAGGGAGAATGACGCATTGGCAAACGTTGATCGGGGAGAAGCTGCTCGGCAGCAGAGTCCCAGTCCTAAACCATCTTCTATTTCGCCCCCAGTACCACCCAAGACTTACCGACCGCCGCTGCGCCCTGGGACATATGCTTCGAGATCTGTGGTTCAAAGAGCTCGCGCGAGTATCACTACCAGCAATTCTGGTTCAGTGACGTCAAGAAGCATACAACGAAGACACACTACCGCCAATGGAAGACCACAGGCCATTCGGGGATCTATGATCATGATGATGCCTTACCTCATCCACTCATCCAGGGGATGAGTCGCCCCAGAGCGCTGAGGTTGTTTTGCCTGTAGCTTTTTTTTCACTTTGTGGCTTCTTTTGCTCGGGTAGCGTGATTCCTTAGACCAACCGGAGATGGACATATCTAGCAACTTTGTATGTACACAATTTCATTTTTGCTGATCGATCCCTATCGATGGAAATGGGCGCCTAAATTGACCGGCTGATACCGGGCGCCGAATTGCTTGAGGGAGCGCTCCGTTCATCACACACGTTCTCCTGGTCACAACTGTAAGAAACGACCTGGACCGCACCAGACGGCACAAGTGAGCTCCTATGAGGCGAGCGGCCAGCGGTACGACAGCCAGGAGTAGTGGTAATGACGGTACGTCCAGAAACTGAGTGAGGCCCGAAGTTGTCTTACTGCGTGTGCTCGCTTTTCAATACTGCACTTCTATTCCGCCGAAGCCACAGACGAGTCTCAGTACTGGGCCCAAGCAGTCGAAGCACTCGATGAACTCCTAGAACTTCGCAATTCTGCTGGGCCGCGAGAAACGCTTGCGAAAGTTAATGGATTCATCGCTGACCTTCCTGAGCTCGAGACCGAAGCTGGATTCGAACAGTTCAAGTCGACCGAGAAGAAATTCGTTCATGGATTGGAGGAGTTACGGGATGGTGCACGTAAAGAGGTCAAGTGAGCAAAACGCTTTAGCTTCTCGCGTATTTTTTGCGCTAGCCAATTGCAGGAATGTTCCTGAAATTCATTCACTCAATCTGGTCTAGTCTCATGGACCTGGCCTTGCAACGCTTGGAAGTAATAATTGCATTAAGAAACGCACCAGATGCGCCAATATCAGGTGCTCTCCCTCTCCATTTGTCAATTATTTCACACCCGCCTGTTAACGTTTTTTATTACAGACAAAAAGCGTAACAACCGGCTTCGATTGGACTCCCCCGCATCCGCCTCTGCGTCATCGACAACATCGCAAATACCACATGGACGAGTTGCTTCTGGTGCTGGCCCAACTGCATTGGCTAGTGTAGGAGGTGCCTCTGGCTTTACAGGGACAGGAAAGAACAAGAAAGGCCACCCGCCAAGTGGATTGGGAGGGCTCGAAGTTGGCCGAAAAGTTGCATATCATCAACCCGCGGGGATAGACCCTGCCACCGGTGAGGGAAGAGATAGTCAATGGATCCTTGTGAAATTCAAACGGCAACTTAATGCAAAGCTGTAAGTCCAGTAAATCTTCCCGTTATAAGGGCAATAACTAAATCATCCTATGATTCGCCTGGTCCTGTGCCCTTTGCCTAATTTAGGCATGAAGTTGAAGATGCTGATGATGAAGGAGCGTACGTCAACCATCATTCGTCGTGTGACCTTCGGTTCCTGATCCCTGTTAATATGACGACTACACTTGGACTTGGGATCTGTTAGCCTTTACCAAGCTAGTTCGGATTCTCTGGTCGTGCTCCCCGATCCCAACTTTCCCAATTTATTTCCAGAGTACTCTCCGGGTACGAGGATATATGGATTATATCCTGAAACAACGTCTTTCTATCGTGCAACTATTCTCGAGGGTCCCAGGCGCTTTCCAGCCGCGGGTGGGGCTAGGGTGAGCATTACCATGACAAAGGCGGATCTCAAGCCACAAAAAGTGGAAGAGATTGGCCGCTGGCTTCTCTTCTCGCTTATTGTGGTCCTTCCTTCGTTATATTCAATTTCCTCTGAATTGTCGTTCCACGTTGCTGAACCGTTCCCTCCCTTTTCTGTAGACGGTTGCACCAGCAAAAGCAGACCGCATGTACAAAGTCCGATTCGATGACGATACAGCGCCCAGTTGCATCATACCTGCATTCCTAGTAATGCCAATACCTCCTGGCTGAGACTGTTCGTCCTGTTGTTTCTATCAGTGCGTGCCCTTGTGTTCGCCTGCTCTTGCTTCTCTTTTTTTGAGGCTCAGATACACTAATCCTTTTCCAACGTAGATTCCTATGCCATTGTTTGGAAATGAATGATCTGTTGCGAACTGTATCTTATTAACGGTAGCCACGTTTTGAACCCAGAAGTGCCAATTCTCTTTACCACACTCGTAGATCATTATTATGGTGTAATGCTCATATTCTGGATTTTCATGATGGGAAGAAACTTGCCTTATCGATAAGGGGCATTTCCTGAGGGTGAGCGTGACTGAGCGGCCTTGCCAATTCTGCAAACAATCGATGGTATCTTTTTTTTACCCAGTTGAGCGGTTTTCGGCCTGGTCTTGGTGTCTTGAAATGTATTCTTTTGAGTGTGGCCGTGCGAGAGTGACGGACTGGTTATGTAATACTTCGCGATTAATGGTCCTTTTCAGAAGCTCAACATCTGAACAATTTTTTTTGTTTCCCCCCCCCCCTTGGTTTTTATCAATCACTGCGTGTCCCTGTTGTAACGCTCCTCCCCCTACCAGAGATACGTACTCGAACGGAGAATAGCCAAGCTTTCCGCCGCGATCTGCCAAGACTTCTAAACACATTGACCTGAGTCGACCTTCATGACGCTCGAATCTGATGTGTGGAGTAAGCAGGAGCCAACCATTGTGGCCGCGTCGTACACACCAGCTCAGGCGGCTATGGGGTCTCTAGGGGTACGAAGTCCGAATTGGACCGCTAACTCATCTGTGGCCACACTGAGACACCTCCCCGAGGGGAATGCGCCCGACTGCACCCATTCGGTCCAGTCATCAGGAGCAGGCCCTCTCCCTCAGAACAAACTCAACAACACAAGCTCTCCATCTTTATCTCTCACTTCGGTTAACCAGACTGCGTCAAACTTGATTACCGAGATAGTCACCGTCCTACAGGCCATGTTGATCAGGTCGGATGGTCAACTTAGTCTTAGTGCGGGTTCGACTTCGACCGGTGATCCATTCCCACCTTCATCATCTCAGAGATCGAGAGAAAATGAACTTGACTCGATGCATCCAAGTCTCAACGGAGGAGAGTCGTTGAGCACACGATTGGTACGCAATCTTTCGTTGCGTTTTTTTTTTTCACATGCATCTGCGCTACATCTATTGAATCTACCAATATTCCAACTCATTCCCCACTAGAACATGCTAATTTCGTCACTCAAAACGTTGTGGGATAACAGTGAACCTGATCCCGGCGATTCCCTTCACTCCGCACAGTCGAAATCCGAATCCTCTGCTTTCCTTTGGCACTCTTCGGACATATCGGTCGAGCCTCAGGACCTGTGCACCCTGACCAACACTATTCACTACTTGGTATCGCACAATAAAGGTGTCACACGAGCACTATCGTTATTGCCTGACGCAACCAGGAGATCACTTGAGGCTTCAATTCAGTGTCTCGTGAGTTTCCTTATCAACAATTAAAATTTTGATCCCGTTCTATTATTTTTTTTTTCTTCGCCCTTCTATCCCTGAAGGCGCGATCAATTCAAATGTTGCGTCTGGATTTTCTCACACCGTTTTTACCGTTCCCCATCCAGGGTATTATTTGCCAAAGTTGTCATCTCCCGCTTCCGCAGGCGGAAGCCTCCGAATTCGATATCAGCCACAGTACTGGCGGTGGTGCGACAGCCGAATCAGGCGAGAATCCTCACCTGACAAGGGCGCCTGAGCAATTCGGCTGCACCGATCCTTTGCACCGCTGTGGTGCCTATAAGGTTGTTACCAGCGATGAACACCCTTCTCACATGGCCCACCCTCCCTCGTCGCAAGCGATTCCGTTCCCGTCCTCTATCGTCGACGCGGACAATAACAGCAACAACGAGCGCGGGTATGAGCTCCATAACGAGGCCAAGGGTGATCGTGTCAAGGCGATATCTTTCGACGATCGCATGTCAAACATGTCGTTATCGAGCTCGGATGAATCCCTGGAAGGGACCAATACGCGTCAAAGCTCCGTCTTGACGTCATCATCGCGCTCTGGTAGCGTGCCTTCGTTGACGATGACGGTTAGTAGCACGTACACCGGAACGGTCGAAACCGTTTGTGACACCGTACGAGACGTTCCTGCCACAATCACCATTGGGAAAGGTAAACGTCAAAGGGTGGGGTCGCTCATTTCGTTTTCACGAGCATTCTTACCCTCTCCTCCGGCGTCCCCTACGATCCTTGAATCCTCGCAATATCAATATCAAAAGTCAAACCTGGTTCGAGAATCTCCAGTGTTCGACATCACCCCTGTAGACGCAATTCACACGGCATACACTTTGCACAAATCCCCGCTGGCGCAAGAGGTCATTACTCCCGGTGAAGTCGAATCAATTTGGTCTACGACGTCAACCACACCTTCCGTTGTCACACGACTCAGGCATGACAGTCTCTCCCTCTCCCTCCCTTCTTTGGTCTTTTGGGACCGAGCCTTCGTCGCGGAACCAGAAGATATTCGCTCCGAGATGGACGCAAAAAATCAAAACGCGCAACACCGTTCGCCAGCCAAGGACGCTTTGTCCAAAATTCACTCTAAAACGGGGTCCCTGACCGGGCCAACACCACAAAATGAGGCGGGAGCCTCAACAGCGTCATCCCCTTCCCCTTCCCCTTCCCTTCTTGCACGCGTCCGGGCACGCGCTTCAACACTTCATCCGTCAATGAGATTTTTCTTTCCATCGACTAGTTCTACTACACCCGCGGCCCCGGAAGAGCAAAACGTTCAGGTTGCGACGACACATACACAACCCCCGCGTGCCAACTCGGAATCGCCTACCCCCTCTTCCATGCCTGTGTCCCAAATAATCCCTGCTGGTACTACTACACTTCCAACTCTTCAAAATAAACCAATACAACCGGCGACGCCAATCTCCTCTTCACCTCGACCCTCTAAAATATCTGGTCCGCCACGATCAAACCGCCGTCTCTCGCGAACTCCGCCGAACACTCTTGAAGCAACTCTTCTTTCACAAGAAGTACCTCGCATGGGAGACGACGACAAAGTTCTTCCTCTCCCTCCTTTAGATCCAGCTCTCAAAGCCGTCGAACGTGCCAGCAAACTACTCAAATCGACCGTTCGATGTGCGGTCTGTGGTGACGACGGAAAGGATTTCCCTCGATGTGGCAAGTGTGGCGAAGCTTGGTGCAGTCGGGAGTGTAGGCTCAAGAACCTTCGAATCGCTGGAACGAAGAGACACGTTTGCTGTTTGGAAAAATTGGCTCAACAACGGAGGAGGAGGCTTAGTACTACTACCTCTGTCGCTACCGCTCCAGGGAGCAATATCATGTGGGCGACCGCGCTCGCGGTGTAATAGTTTTCTTTCTTTCTTTTTTTGGTTTGTCACTCCATGTAGTACATAGTTGGATAAGTTTTCGTTTTCTCTCTCTCTCGCGTCGTTGAACCGCCGCTGCATGCATATTTCCCCCCCCCCTTTTTTTTTCTTCTTCTTCTTCTTCTTCCTTTGCACTTATTCCCATTTCTTCTCGCGACCCCTCTTTGGATACAAACAAAAAATTTGGAGATGAATTGTCATCCCAGCACGTTTTGATCTTGTGGTTTGTCGTTTTATCCATGTTCCCCTGAAAAAATCAATTTCGTTGTTGCGCCTCATACATAGTAGATATGCGTTGGTTATCTCGGTATCCATGAGTGGCTCCCCTCCCCCCCCTCCCCCCAATTTACCTGATAAGTCTGGACTGGGGTGTCTTCCGTATAGAAGTTGGCTAGAATTCTACTAATTCAGTACGTGTATGCGTACACGTGAGGGGAGTGAGGGGAGTGAGGGCTTGCAGATTGATTGTGGCTCAGAAGTGGATTGATATCGTTCTAAATAGCAACCAATTCAATCTACACCGTGTGGGGGAGGGAGGACCCCTCTATTCCAATAGAGGCCAGTGACCTTGCCTAGTGGGGGCCCCTCGTGTTACATGTCGCCAAAATATTCTGGTGACAGTAAACGCCGACATGCATGTGCTTGCGCGTAAGGTGTCGTCCTAACCACCCCTAAGCTCCTACTATTCGTACCGTTGAACAGATACAGGAAAGCATCTGGCGTTTGCCTACGTATATATATATATATCACAATTCAGATCCTCTTACTTTACATATCTCCAACGCAACGGCGACGACGGTGTGGGGAAAGGACGGAAATATGTAAAACTGGTTCCATCGCATGATCTAGAGTACATAAGTTGAAGTTGGAAAAAGGTCTCCGCGCCTTTCGCCTTCTTTCACATGTTGAGGGGGGGCCCAGCCCCACGCGCCACTTCTTATGAATGGTCGTCGGAAGAAGAAGAAGAACTCAGTTGCTGATCGTTAATCCATGGTTTTTTTTACATATGTAGTTCCTATTCTTATGTACATAATTCGGAATAACTTTTTGAACATTAATCCCACGTTTTTTTTGTGCGGTGCTAACTAAGAATCATGAAGGGGATAGATACGCCCCCCCACCCCCCCCCACCTTCCATGTTATCGCTGAGTCAACAGTCTGCCCGATGAGTCGGGTCCCGACGGAACGGACGGATCCAAGTCGCAACCGCTGGTCTGGACGGTGGAGAAGGTGCATGGGGGTTTCGCAAACACTCGCAACATCACACCGAGCTAGTCGCTCGCGCAGCTTTTCGGTTTTAATTTTCTCTTGCGATGCATGGCATGCTGCCCCACATGCACACATGCAATAACACTGGGGGGCCATTATATAGTGCCAGCCCATCCAAACTATATACGTCGCCAAAAACCGGACCGCTTCCTTAGCTGATTAATGATAACTTGTACTCAGTTCTTACGATCAGCTTTCGATCTTTCCAAGCAAGCAAAGCAAGCTGTGGAAAATCTAGACACACCCCAAGGTACGTACGTACGGGCACAGCCATAGAAATATTAGCTCCAAAGCAGTCCTTCCGGACCGAAAGGCGGGCCCTTGCTGAATAATGTGCAAAGTTCAGCAGCTAGAACGAGGGGCATATACTAGTACTGAGAGAGAGTGACCGCGCCCTTTTTTTTCATGCCCGCCTTAGAGTTGGCAAGCCGCTGTCGTAGTATCTTCTGGCTCACACTACCACCTGCAGGGATAAGTTAGTGGCTGGAGGATTACGTGTATTTCGGACATTCCCATGCCTAAATTAATTGCCGTGGGAGACCACGTTCGACCCCGGGTTGGGTTGCGGATTGGATGCATCGAAGTGGTGAGGGGGGGGAAGTGATTCCGGCCAGGTCTTGTGCTCAGTAACGAACTCGATGATTGAAGCTCAAAAATTTGGCCAATAATTACATATACACTTTGACATGGAAATCGCATTACATCCATAGAGGGCTGGTAGCCTGCTTGACATCAACGTCGAGAGGCGTGTAGCTCCAGGGTCATGTCATGTCACGTCCCATCGCCCTTCAATAGTATTCCTAAACTGGCTAAAGCACTTGAGTACTCCTCGAGTGATCCCGACCTTCACGAGAACGTCAGCAAAAAAAAAGCAAAGTTTTTGATCCCTTTACGCACCATGGAGTCTCTAGCAGTAAGCGATCGATTTCTTCATCCTCCTCCTCGACTATCGGATATGTCTGTAGGGCCAAGTATAGCTGCTCGGCGGTCGCAGAACGAATCTCAATCACGCCAACAAAACTGACTCAGTATCCCCGCCGGCCGTTTTTTTTTTTTTTTTTTTTTTTCCAAAGGGGTGATTGATTGTTGTTTAAAAAATGGTTTCAATACTCACAGTTGGGAACGAATGACTCAGGAAAAACTCTACGTAGGAAGCCGCTTGTCGTCGTAAACGTGGGCAAGAAAGCATGACGATTGACCTATATTAGAAACCCACCCCATTGTGTTATAAAAAATTTAAATAAAAAAAAAAATGTAGCGATCATCAAACCGTCGCGGAAGACTTACACTTTCATCGAAGCCGTGATTCGTTGAATGTTCTTAAACTTGCTCAAGTTTCTGCATGCAAGATCGAGGGTTTTCTTGAGACTAGAAAGAAAAAAAAAAAACTTATCATCTACAAAGGCCGTGCAACCCCGAAATCTCCGTTGGACGTACATAGCGCTACCGTCTTCGGAGTCGCTGATTCGCTCCATCGATGCCTCTCGTAAAATCAGCTCGAAAGCTAGCATCACTGGCACAAAGCTTTGATTGGAAGCATAGTTCTCACGTCCGATGAAGTGTAAATCATCCAATAATGTGACAAGGCTGGTGTCATCATCATCATCGGGATTTGAAGAGACAATGGGAAGAGTTGAGGATAGTTGGACTAATGCATCAGACGCCGGTCGAAGCTAGAAGGGAGGTTAGATTTGAAAAATGGCAAGAGTCGATATGCTCGAGGGAAAGGGGGGGAGGACGTACGGTGCTTTCATTCCGGCTTCCGACGCTTAGTGTCAACCCTTGAAGCACTTGTTTCCGGTAGGTAGGAATTCGAAGAACCTCCACGATTCTTGGGAAGATGAAGGCAGGATTTAACCACTCAGTCTGCTCCCTGCGGAAGGAAGGAAAAGGAATTGGTTGGATACGATAATGAATGCGACATTCGGCATCCAACCTACGAATCGAATAACTTCCAAAGCGTCTCTTCTCCATCCAGGTGATATGCATCATAGCCCTTGGTCCCTGTCCGGCCACCGATTCGTTGCAGTACACTGCGTATTTGGATCCCAGCCTCTTGACGAACATTGTCGAGACGTTCCGCGCCTTGCTTCAACGTTCCGGAAATAGCAAGGTGATACGTTGGCTGAGGTAACCAATCTTCCAAGGTCGCTAGTTGTTTTTCTACGAAAAGTCGAGATATAGACGCGCCGATCGCTCGTACGCAAGCTATCCGTATCCAGGAGCCCACATCTCCACGCTCATCAGTGGTGTAGTCATTAAGGCCATTTATGAAAGCTCCGAATATTTCCTGGAACTTTGACTGGCCAATCTCTGCGATGGGAAGAAAAAGCCTGAGCCTCGAAACCACGTTTGCAGCTATATGTATATATACCTTGAAGGGTGCCGAAAGATGAATTTTCCACGATACGAGCCAAGGCATCCAGAGCATTTCGACGCGCCTCCACATTTTTCGAGAACTTTGATGACTGTGAGGAGATCAATCTTCCGGGGTCACGGTCGGTTTGGAAACGTGGGTCCACTCACATTGACGTCCACACAGTTTAAAAGGCAAGAAATGGCGTCATTGGCGCCGTGAGGCAATTTGGAGTATGATAGGATACCCAATACTCGAGCCAGACTCTGTTGTGCAGAAGGCGGACTGGTATGGAGTTGCGTTACAGCTGTGCAATTATATGTTAGCTTTTCAATAACACTTTTTGCGCGTCGAATGGAAATGGCCCTATCTATTAACGACATCCTTGCACAACACCAGTTGGCTGGTGGACGCAAATGCACGCGCAACAGCTTCTTGCACTGCAACGTTACGATGTTGAATGCATCGATCAAGAACGGGGCGCCACCATGTAGAAGCTTCGGGGAGACTTAAGGCAATTTCAGATGCAGAGGTCGCAATGAGGTCGCAAAGGGCTCCGAGCACGAGTTCATTGCCATACTTCTTGAGCACGGAAGGGGGTACTCTTCCCAGCAGTTTGAAGACCTGAGGTAAGAAGTCAATATGAACATTGTCGAGAATGTGGTGGGTATTTTGTGTACAACAGTACCTCGACTCGATCGGCCTCCCGAGGCGGAATGGCAGAATGAAACGCCAAAGCCAATTCAGAAAGACTCAAAAGAGAGCCATGAATTTCATTCAGTTCCGTTGATTTCAGCATTGGAGACTACAAAAAATTATTCACTTGGGCTTGAGCGCGTCTTTTCGAAGGAAAGTACACACCAATCGATGCAGCATTTCGGGACCGAGGTTCCCCAAGTCTAATTGGCATAAACAACCAAGGGACTGGGCGGAAAGCGACCGTATAGCTGGATCCCAATGCTTGAGGGAGACATTAACGAGATGGTCAATGAAGTAGGACCGATATTCCAAGTGCCTGTTATCCTCAAAAAAAAAAAGAAAAAAGGGATTTGTATTCTGCTTCACGGTTGGCGTTCAATCGCCTCAGACGTACACCGCTACTTGAGGCGCGGACTTCAGAAAGGCTGTCCTCCTAATGCTGACAGCGTAAAAATCTGTCTTGCGTAGTACGTCGATCCCATGAGGGAAGATTCCCTTGGAAGCAAACAATCCGATTGAGCTAGGAGGGGGGAGGAGGCGGGTGTTAAACCGTATGGACTGACCTGTCGACCGACGTTCTCCTGAAAGGCAGCGCTCGCCGCTCTGCGAATGTGTATTTCCCTGTCGTACACCGAAACCGCGACGAGTCTTCTTGCCAACTCAGTGGCGAATGGTAGTAGACTATCGTTTGTCTGAGCTCGAGCAAGTGACCAAATGACATATGCGGCGGCGTCGCGGACGTTTGAGCCGATGGAGTGGGAGCCTCTTCGTACATCGAAGTATAGAGCCTATGGATAATTTTTTTTAAATGTGATAGATGTGATCAGCGTAGGTGATCAGCGTAGTAAGCACCTTGTACATCCAATTAAGGAGATCAGGGAGTC